CCTGTTAAAATGAGACTACTGCTGAGAGGAGCGATGCAGTGATGCAGTGCACCACGGCAGCCATTGACACCACAGTATGAATTAGCTCATCAACTCCTTTGCGGGATGTTCTGAACTGGGGAATGCTGACTGGGCCTGAGGCAAAGGAAGAGTATGGACAGGTGAGGCTCAGAGGGAGGAAAACAAGCCTGAGCTACATGGCAAGTAAGCCTGCGGGCAGGCTTACCCTCTGGCTGTGCTGAATGATGCAGTATGGGCCTGTAGAAATGGCGGGCCTTCCAACCACAGGAGGAACTGCTATCAAGTGCATTCATACCCAGCATTTCACTTAGTTATTTAGAATGGGTAACACATCACCAAAAAAATTCAAAAATCAACCACCACAAAGGAGCATATGGGGAAAAGTTTCTCACACTTCTGTCTTCCATCCCATAATGGCTTTCCTTTAAAACTTTTTCAGAGACATCTTTGCGTGTCTCCACATTTATGTATGCAGACTTGTGTGTATGTTGTTTCTTTTTAAACAAACTGTAGCACCATTGCCCTACGCTACACCTTGCCGTCCATTAACATTATACCTTAGAGACGGTTTGGTGTCCACCAGCCTGGACCTCCCTCCTTCTTAATGGCTGCATAATACTCCACAAGAGGGCAGTAACACAATTATTCAACCATGGAACTTAAAGGGTTGGTTTTTTTTCCCAGTCTTTACTCTTCATTCTTTACCACAAACTAAGTATTGGTGCCTATGGTGTGCCCAGCACTGTTCTAGGGACCGAAAGCGGAAAATGAGATATTCGAGTGCTGTACAATCTACATTCAGGGATGAACATTCTCATGAATACGTCTTCATGTCCAAGTGTGAATTTATTGTTACTAGAAACTCTAGAGGTATAATTGCTGTGTCACAAGTTATGTGCATTGCAAGTTTTGATAGACATTGCAAATAGCCCCCCAAAAAGTTGTATCAATTTACTCTCTCACCCTCTGTACGGAATTTTTTCATATGATTAAAAGTCATCATAGTTTTTTATACCATTATGTTTCTTAAACACAAACCAAGTTCTCTGTACAAAATTTCTCACGACGACCTGTGCAATGACTAAGGAACTAGAAAACGTGACCCCTGGGACACGCTTGGCGGGGATACATCTTCTGCATGGATGTTGGGGCCAGACCCTGCTCGCTATGACTGTTCTCTCTGCTGTAGGGAGCAGTCTTTGGACAACCCCAGGGAGGAAAGACGGGGGTGGGAGGTGGTACACGTGACCCAAGAGGACGGGATGAATGGGGTGTGCAGTTAATGGTGTCACCCATGCACATGGTATTTGGCAAGGTGGGACAATCCACACACAAACCCTGTATATGAACTGAGAAAAAACTATTAGTGATACCCATGACCAAGGCCTGATTTCCCTCGTATTTAAACAGCTTCTGCAAATCAATTAGAAATCCAACCACCCCACAGATAAATGGACAAAGGACACAGACAGTTCTCAGTGAAGGAAATAGTCTCCTGTGTTCCAGAAAATCTGTTTATAAAATGAATGCTATAATTACACATTTTTAAAATGTGTGTTCCCGATCAATATCAATCTACCCCCATTGTAATTGTTATCACTATTAAAGTTGACGGAACTTGAAAGAGTCCCCTGTGTTCACACAGCAGCACTTGTACCCCTGGTCTTTTCTGTGTCCCTTCCCTCCTGTTTATGACTTCCGGGATTCTCACCACCTCATAGGCACTTATGCTGCCATCAGCCATGCCCACCCCTCCCCTTCCTGGCCTCAGTTTCCGAGGTTGCTCCTTGCCTGCCACTATCTACTCTCCCCAGTGACTCTGCTGGGGCTCTGCCTGGATCTCTGGGCGTTTCCTGAATTCTGGCCCTACCACTTGGCATCCTTTTGTTTCCAACCTGAGGGACACGCGACTCCTTTCAGAGTCTTGTGCCACTGCCCCTTCGTATCCACATAAAGAGAAACTGGAATGCCTGGGCTTTGTCACTTATGGCGGCCCTTAGCCAACGACTGACAGACATAGAAGTATGGAAGCCCAGGTTCCCTGCCTGGGGTGGGGACAACTCTGAGATGCAATTTACATTCCAAAACTCTCCTTCGCATCAGGGGAAGTCACCCTTGTAACTTTGCCTGAGATCCTTGCTCGCTTACCCTCCTTCCAGGTTCTTACTGGTTTCTCCTGGGAGTGTTTCCTTCTTAAATTGCTTGCACACAATCTTTGTCTCATGACCTGCTTCTGGGATACCTAACATAAGACACAACCTTCTTCCTTAATAACAAAATCCTGACTTCTATTCTGGCACACGTCTTCCCTGAATAAAGGCTACATTTCCCAGCCTCCTTTGCAACTAAGAATATGACTAAGTTCTTGTTAGTGAGATTAAGCAGAAGTGCACTGTGGGACTTCTAGAAAGTCCACAGCTGATGGCTAGAGCTCATCTTGGACTCCCAAGAGAGGGGGCACACCCTCGGTATGTGGGAGCAAAGATCTGGAAAAAGCCTGGACAGCTAACAACTTCAAGGACCTGCCAATACCAAACACAGATTGCCTACCATCCCCATCCCAACATTTTTTATGTGACAAATAAGTTTCTCTCTTGTTTAAGCCAATGTCATTTGATTTTTTTGTTCTACACATATGTAGCCAAACTTAATCCTAACTTATAGACCAGACCACCACTATAGAGGCTGAAAAGAGACAGACACTTGCTTTTCCAGCCTCCTTTGCAGCTCAGTTTTGCCATTGTGACCCAGTAGTGGCCAATGAGATGTCAGGGAAGGTCTGGCGGGGAGAAAGGTTTGGGGAAAGAGGTCCTGGGAAAGATTTTTTCCCAGGTGGAAAAAAAAAAAGTTATATGACATAGAGTTCTCTTGCCACCCTGGCAACCTTCTCCCTGCTACCTGCCTTTGGTTGCAACATGTGAAGATGTGATGTCTAGAGCTGTGGCAGCCACTCTATAACCATGAAGTGACAAGTCTATAGACAAAAAGACAACCATCTGCTGTGCAGAAAGATGGAGAGAGCCTGACACCAAAAATCACTGAGTTACAAACCATCCCTGTGATCTCCCAAACCACACCACTGGATAGTCCACAGTGTTAACCAATGTCCCTGTTACTTGCAGCTAGAAAGCACCCTAACACCTGGGGTGGGGGCGGGGGGGGGGAAGGCAAAGCATTGAAATAAAATAAGGAAAAGTTAACCTTTATAAGACCTGGAGATGACAAATTCTCAAGAAGCCTACTACTGTAACCCCTTGGAGGGGAAGACCTGGGTTCTGGGGAGATAATTATCTGTGTTAGGCTGCCTCCAAAGGCAAGAAACAGAAACTCCAAGGAACTTAAACAACAAGAGCTCCAGGATCAGTTGATTCGGATGCTCAACAATGTCATCAGGAACCCAGGCTCCTCCGCTCTCTCTGCTCAGCAATGCTCAGCAATGCTTCCAATGGGCTCCCTTTTCAGGCTGTAGCAAGATAGAAGCGCCCCTCCAGGTGGCACGTCCAGTATGACAAGGCCTATGGAGTCCTGTGTGATCTACCGCATCCCCCATTATACCTCTGGTTCCCTCAGCTGCACTTGCTTGTTCTTCAAACATGCTTCAAACTCCTGCCTCGGGGCCTCTCCACTTGCTGTTCCCTCTATCTACAGTGCTGTTCCCATACATGTCTACCTGGCTCTCCATCTCCTTCAGGTCCTTACTCAACTATCACTTTCCCAGTGAGGCCTGTCTTGACCACACTATTTACAATTATAACCACCTCGCTACTCCCCATCCCCCTTCAGGCTTAATTTTTCTCTACAGCATGTAACTGCATCCAACACAGGGCACAGTCCCTTGCCTGTTTGATTGTCTGGGCCCCACCTGCCTAGAAGGTGTGCTCAAGGAGCTCAGAAATGCTTTTCTGATTGTCCCCAGGGCCTACCAGAGTAGGTATCCCATAAATATCTGCAGAATCAAGGAAAGAAAGACAAGAGATGGGCAATATCCACAGGAACAAATGGCAGAGGGAGGATGTTTTCAGAGACCTCCTTCCCCCCATTAGTCAACCCCCAGCCTTCCCCCAGCATCTCATCCAGAATCACGCATGCCAGGCCTCAACCAGTCACTGACAAAGAGAAGGGACTTCCTTTAGCTCCAGAGAGGCTGGGGTCAGTGGGTGTTGGGCGTGGGGGTGTGGACCCCTGAACAAAATGAAGAGAGATGGAGAAATGGATGCTGGGAGTGCCCCGCAGTACCGGTTCTACCCTCCAACCACTGGTTCTCCTGGGCTTTCTCTTGTGTGTGGGTGAAAACCAGTGACCATCTCATCCCTTCGCTGTGTCTAAAAAGAGTTGTCAGCACTTGCTGCCTCCCCTGCCCCATCCATGCCTCACCCAGCTGGAATCAGGCTTCCACCTCTGGCCTTGAAATCTGCCTCTCACCAGGGTTATCACTGACCTACGTGTTTGTAAGTCCAATGGAGCCTCCTGGTCCTGATGTGACTCTGCCCTGCTGACCACTTCAGCCTCCTCTCCAGCCCAGCTCTGCAGCGACCTGTCTGTCCCACTTCCAAGGTCATTATGCTACAGTGACCCCATCAGTGTCGGCTGCATCTAGCCCCCTTCCCCACCCGTCCCCAATTTCATCTTCTGGGGGAAATCACAGCTCCAAGCCTTGGAAAACTGAGGCGAGTTCGTTCGAAACGTAGTTTCGAAATCTCAGCAACCGCAGGGGAGAGAAACTGGGTCCAGGAGTTGGGTTGGGGGCGCGACCAGGGGTGGCGCCGGGTGGGCCGCGCTCCCTCAGGGGAGGAGTCTCCACTGTCCCCCTAGACCCCCGGCCCCACGGCCCTAGCCTGACACCCCCGGCCTCGCGCCGCGACGGCGCCGCCGAGTCCGGGCTCTGAGCCGGGGCAGCAGGAGACCAGGCGGAGCGGGGCGGGGCGGGGCGGAGGGGCCCAGGGGCTGCGGGAAATGCCGAGAGGGCGCGGCCGAGTGGGGACCCAGGCTCCCTGCACCCCGCCGCCCCGGGGGCGGAGGGGAGGGGCCCGCTGCGACCTTATTTCCTCGAGCGCCGGCGTCGCCAGCTCCGAGCCCGTCCTGCGCTGCGCTAGCCCTCCCGTGTCCATGCAGCCCCGCCGGCAACCGCTGCCGGCGCCTGGGCCCGAGGGCCCGCGCCCCACCGCCCCGATGTTTGCGCTGCTGCTGCTACTGCTCGCCCTCCAGGGGGCGGCGGCGAAGCCCGCGGGGTCCGCAGGGCCGGAGGACTCCGAGTGGCGCCAAGACACCGAGCTGCAGCGCGGGCTCCTGCAGCAGGCGGCGCGCGCGGCGCTGCACTTCTTCAACTTCCGCGCGGGTTCGCCCAGCGCCCTGCGAGTGCTGTCCGCCGTGCAGCAGGGCCGCGCGTGGGTGAGTGCGGGAGCCACAGCGAGGGCGCGCGCGGGGATCGGCCACGCACCACGTAAGCGGCGACGCCTGTGAGCGCGTGCCTGTCCGCCCTGCGGCGGGTCCGCGACGGAGACTGAACTAAGTGCCTCCGCGCCCCAGAAGTGTCCACGGCGTGGCGAGGGCGCATTGGTGTGCAGAGCCCTTAGAAAACTGGCCGCCTCTTTCTAGTATTTACGAGGCCATGGATTTTTCACAGGGCAGCTCCCATACCTGGGAAAGAGGCGCATGGCCAGACTGAGAAATAGGCCCAAAAGCCAAGGGGTTAACCTTGTCTGGGGGTTACCCAGAGCTGGTTGCTATTGGGGAGGTCACAGCGGGCGCGACCCACCAGCAAAAGCCCTGGGCAGAATTTCTAAATTCTAAGCCAATTCCCACGCGCGGCCAAGGACTGGCTTGTCGATTGCGGGCCACCAGGCAAGGGCTTCAGGATGTGGTTAGAATTTACGCATGGGCTTGGGTAGGAGCCTTGGTAATCCTGGCGTCTGCTTTAATGGGAGTGAGCGGACCACGGCTCCATTTTCTATGTGAAGGGAATGAGTGAGAACGTTACGGGTCGTTGTTTGGTTGCTGATTTCAAGGGACTGGCTGTAGGTTTTGTTTTGTGTCTATGGAGGTACATTGCTTCCTCCATCATATCGACGATTACAAGTTGTAGAACTACACTAAGCCTGCCCCCCAAAGTAATGATATTCTTTACAGCAATTCCCAAATATTCCACAGAGCCTGCAGACTCAGCCTCAAAAGAATCTAGTATTGAGTATAGAGTGTAAATAGGTAGAGTTTTAGAATGGCAGTAGGATTTTAGTTTAAGATTGTTCTATACCTGGTGTCAGACACCGGTAGAGAAGGGCTTTTGGAAACTCAGTCTTGGTTTCTCAATGACTTAATCCTGCACCTAGGGTGGCTACCTTTATGGAAGATGAAATGAAATTGTTCCTTGAAAGAGGCAGCCTATACCTGTCACCTGTTTTAACAATCCTTGCTGTCTCAGGGAGGAAAAAAAAGTTCAGTTTTACTAGCCCAGCAGAGGAGTGAGGGAACAGAGCTTGAGAATGTTTATCAGAGGAGAGCAGCCACCTCCCAGAGCCCAAGGTGGGTGTGTCTGAAGATCTGCTCCCTGGTTACCAGCCAGGGACATTTCCTACTGAAAACCGTGTTCAGGTTTCTAAGATACACCAGCTTTCAAATGCCAGGAGTATTTCTCTTCCTTCTAGGACCATGAAAAAAATAAAATAAGATATTTTGCATTTTTTATGCATTTGGTCATTCCCTTGGAAAAAAATAAAATACTTGGCATCTTTAACAGAATAAACTAGCTCTCAAAACCCAAGTGAATTAAGAAAAAGTTCCTTTCCTCTTCCAAAAGTGACTGCTTTTCATCTGTAATGGTATAATTTTCCTGAATTTTAGAGGGATCCTCCTGGGGGGCCCAAAAGGGCGTGGGTGGGACTAAGTAAATTAGAGGCAGATGTGCGTGACTGGGAGGAGTTAAGTAGAATCCAGGACATTGACCCTAAGAAAGGGTAAGTTCCTGTTGTCATCTGGTTCAGCTTTACGTTTCCACGTTTCCTCCAAAAAGGGTTTTAAATGTTTTAAAATCAAGGAGCCAAGGAAGAGAGAGCTTAATGACGTTCAGGACCAAGACTCTTCAGGAGCCTAAAATGGTTTCAGTTTCTCTCAGGAATTCGGTGAAATTATTTTCCTCCATTTTGGTGCCTCCAAATATCACCACTAAAGAAGAGCCCACTTCAAGGGTGATCAAGGCAGCCTCGGGCAGGGTGTGTCTTACGCTTCTGACAGTGGGGCTCCCAGGGTTCCTGGGGGTAGCAGAAGCACAGGAGGAAGTGGCTGAGAATGAGTGCTGATTTCCACTAGGGAACTGCCACAGGCTGGCTTTCTAGAATGTGGGGGACCAGCTGGTGGGGTATTGTGGGGAGCCCAGATGCCAGCCCATGCTTTGCCTCTAATGAGCCACGCTACCTAGAGAAGGTCATAAAAGTCTTCTCAGGCTACTTCCTCACTTGGAATGAAATTAATCCATGTTCTGCCAAC